ATTTTGTTGGGGGTGAGTGTGTATTAATTAATTTTTACATTTTTAAGCTATTGTTTGGCGATCTGAAATGACTCACAATAATTTTAACCTATTCCAAGTTGCTTTTTGGGTCAAAACCAAAACGTTGAATGATCCACGTGGATTTAAATCAACAGTTCAAAAAAGTGGTTTTCGTTGAGTTCAACTGATTTGTTGTTCATCCCTAAGTAAAACTAATGAAAAATTCATTTGCAAACTTTAACTCTCAACTATCATTTGAAGTGAATGAACTTATTTATTTGAATGGTTGTAATTTTAAGTTAAATATGCTTTTAATTGTTGACTTTTATTTTAGTCAAAAATTTCCCCCACTTTTCACAATGCCTCATAAAATGTAGAATTTGTTTTTATATTAGTTTCAGCAAATTATCCTCAAATTTGTTGTAAAATTTAATGAATAATGGATTTTGTTGTGTGGAAATTATTTGGTTTTCCATTTAAGAAAGTGTGTGTTTGATTACATTTATTTTCCGTGAAAAATATCAGTTTTTCACCCAAATTCCTACTTGAGTGTTTAATTGCTATTTTTTCCATTGAAAATATTTTCCAACTTTTGAAAATATGCCTAATTTTCTTTGTTTTTAAGGAAAATATTTTTTTTGGGGGGGGGGGGGGAGGTGGTTTTTGTTTTCGTCAAAATAAGGAAAACGTTTTCTTTTCTAGGCGATATTTTTCCAAGCCAATCAAACAAACTTTAAGGTCATGTTTGATTGGTTCGAATTCCATGTAAAATGGAATTCAAATTCCACTTTCTTCCAATTTTGTGTGTTTGATAGTTATTTTTTTCCCATGGAATTTGGTTTTCTTGCTGTTCTTGGAAGTTGGAATTTTCTTGGTTTTCTAGGGCACTATTATGGTTTGTTTCTTTGCAATGGAAACAAATTCTATTCGTAATTGTAAATAAATATTTTCTTTTAATTCACAATTTACATGTAAAACAAAGTCAAACAAATATCAAAAGATAGATGAATTTTTTTTTGGCAATGGAAACAAATTTTATCCCCAAAATCAGTAAATTCTATCCCTTTAATTGACAATTTTCATGTAAAATAAAGTCAAACGAATACAAAAAATACTTTTATTCCAACATTTTCCACGTGAAAAAGTATACCGATCAAATACAATAATTGAAAATTCTCAGTAAAACAATTTCTAGGCAATTCAATTCCCTGAAATTTGTTTTCTTTCCACCCAAATTTAATCTTTACAATCAAACGGACCCTAAGTGTTTTATTTTATTATTTTTCATTTATTTCGGCAATTTTACTTTTTCCTGTTGTTATATTTGTACTTTTTTTAATTTCCTTTTTCATAAACATAATTTTAATGGAATGTAGCAAATTTGCAATTCAAAGATGGGTAGATAGGAGTAATAAGGCTCAACAGGATTACTTGTTGCTTAAATTCAAATCTCGATATGTTTGGCAGCTGGGAAGTATTAGTTATGGAATATGGGCAATTATTTAATTATGTTTTGTACTTTTAAGTATTGTCGTCGTCTGATTAATGAATAAATACTCATGAGTACATTGTATTGAGGCGTGAGTTTTTAGCTGTATTTGAAATAGAAATCATTTCCATTGATATTATTGTTGATTAGCACTGGAAAAAAAAACCTTTTGCAACATGTAAAAGATAACATTCATTAATTGCATGTTGCTAAAAGCGGTCTATTGCAACATTCAGCAAGTGTATGTTGCTAAGACAACATTTTTTTAATAAATGTTGCTAATACACCAGTTTGCAACATTCGGTATCTGTCGTCATTAAAATTTTTTTGCAGCGTGCAATACGCGTTGCTATTAATGTTTTAGCAACGTACAATGTGTGTATCATGATATCTTGCATAATTTTTTACAGTTGGCCCAAAAATTTTAGAATTTATTCTTGGAAGGTTTAGAAAAAATGCACTTTGAAAAAGTCAAAGGAAAGACTCGGAAGACTAAAAAATGTAGACAAGCTAGAAACTTGAAAAATATATATCTATAAAAAAAAATGATGAAGAAGACTTGAAAGACTTTAGGAAGATGGTGTCGATTTGGGGAAAAAGAGATTTTGGGAGGAGACAAAATTATTGTAAGGAATTGTTATAAGGTAAGAATTTTGACTCCAAACCCTAATGAAGTCCAATTTTCACATTTTAAGTGTTTGATGGTCTGAAACGACCCACAAAATTGAAACTTATACCAAATTGCTTTTTGGGTCAAAATCAAAACGTTGAAGGATCCACGTGATTGAACTTATTTATTTGAATGGTTATAATTTTAAGTTAAATATGCTTTAATTGTTCGCTTTTAGTTTAGTAAAAAAAAAAAATTAATTTTTTTCCCCATTTGTGACAATGCCTCATAAAATGTAGAATTTGTTTTTATACTAGTTTGTGCAAATTATCCCTGAACTTGTCTGAAAATTTTGATGAATAATGGATTTTGACTCGTGGAAATTACTCGATATACTTTTTCCTGTTGTTATTTTTGTTCTTTTTTAATTTCCTATTCCATAAACATAATTTTAATGGAATGTAGCGAATTTGCAATTCAGAGATGGGCAGATAGGAGTATTAAGGCTCGATAAGCTTACTTGTTGCTTAAATTAAAAATCTCGATATGTTTGGCAATTGGAAAGTATTAGATATGAAATATGGGCAATTATTTAATTATATTTTGTACTTTTTAAGCATTGTTATTGTTTGATTAATGAATACTTGTAAGTAACTTAATTGTATTGAGGCATGAGTTTTTCCCTATATTTGGCATTCAAATCACTTCTATTGAGGCGTGGTTCACATGTTGAGAGTTAGTTGTGCAATACTAGACAAATTGGTCCAAACGTGTCCGACCCCACATGAGTGAAGAAATTGTGGAATATGGCCCACAATAGAACAAGGCCGAATTTTGTGGTAATTTAAATTCAATTCAGAACTCTCACATGCAATAAGGCCCACCCTGAATTGACAGGAAAAAAAATGCATTTGTGAAAGGAACATGGGGTTCAAACGGGGCTGAGCAAAAGTATTCCTTGACAAGCTTAAATACAAATTAGTGGGCCTTACCGCTGGTGAGGAAAAATAAAAAAAATAAAAAAATAAAAAATAAAAAGCCAGTTTTTTGCTACTTTATTCACTTGGATTAAACAAAAACAAGAAGCTAATGATGATGCTCAGGAATTTAAATTCAATTCACATAAACATAAACAATGTGGTAATTCTAATGTTGATGCAAGGAAAAAAGGGATTTTCGACGATGACGAAATTATTGTAAGGAATTGATATGAGTCAAGAATTTTTGACTCCAAACCCTAATGATGTTCAATTTTGTTTGTGTGTGTATGTGTATATATATATATATCACATTTTATTTTTTTCCATTTATTTTGGTAATTTTCATTTTTCCTGTTGTTATATTTGTTCTTTTCTAACTTCGTTTCTCATAAGCATAATTTTAATGAAATGTAGCAAATTTGAGATTCAGAGATGGGCAGGTAGAAGTAATAGGGCTCGACAGGCTTACTTGTTGCTTAAATTCAAAATCTTGATATGTTTGGCAGTTGGAAAGTGTTAGTTATGGAATATGGGCAATTATTTAATTATGTTTTGTACTTTTAAGTATTGTTATTGTTTGATTAATGAATAAATACTTGTAAGTAACTAAATTGTATTGAGGCGTGAGTTTTTCCCTTTATTTGAAATATAGATCACTTCCATTGATATTATTGGTGATGAGGAAATTTTACCACGCCTATTTATTAACTTTTTATCTGAATAGTCAAATACAAAGATTTTTCTTTCAAAAATCAGGTGCACCTCACATCCACATCGACGCCTACACTCAATCTTTCGAATAATATGTGATACTCTCTCTCTCTCTCTCTCTCTCTCTACACTTTCTCTCTTTATCTACAATGCGGATATGAGGCGTCTCCACCATCGACCCCCGCCACCTTTACAAAAATAACTATTGTACTACCCTAACACCCCACCCCACCTCATGCAACCTCCATTTGTCATTTAATCCATTTTTTCCTATTTTTCAAATCTACCATCTACCTTCCACCTTCATCCACCAACGATCGCATGTCCTCATTGCCATCACCATTCACAACATCACCTCTGGAGGCACTCAACAACACGAAGATTGAGAGCATTGGGTCAAACATCTGAGTAATGGAGGGATGTTTGGTTAGTAAGTAAATTATCGACCGAAATTATGGTGTACACATCGTTCGCATCTGAGTATTATGATGGTGAATCGAACTGCCCTAACGATGAAGCTGTCTATTAATGATGGTTGCTCGTGGCGTTTTACAGAGATATGTAGATTTGTGATTGATTCTTTAGGGTTGAAAAGGGAAGTTTTCAAATGAAATGGCTACGGCGATGAACACGTGTTGTTCGTAGTGTTGCAGTGTTCTATACAAAGTGGTAATGATGGTTGTGCGTAGGAGGTGGAGGTGAAGGTCAAGGTGAAGTTTGGTGGTTGTGATTGAGGATTGTGGATTTGGGGTGGCAACGACAATTTGGTAGTCGTGAAGTGGGTGGAGTCAGGGTGAAGAGTCATAATGATTAGTTAATTGGATAATTTGTGGCCGATTAGAATATGTGATTGTGACCGAAATACATGATTCTGATCAACAAAATGTGTCTTTGTGATCGTGATCTCATATAATTTGTAACTCGTATGTGATCATGATTATAAATTACATGTCTATTGTGATAGTGATCATAAATTACAAACTTTTTACAGTTGGCCAAAAATATCTGATTTTGGAATGGCAACAATCTTCAAGCAGAATGTGATAGAAGCAAATACAAATAAGTGTGCTAGAACATAGTGAGTAACAAATAATATTTCTTTTTCATATTGTCTGCTAATAACACACACACACATACACACTCAAGGCTCATTACTAGCGAATTAATGCTTTCGTGATTTCACAGTGGTTACATGGCTCCTGAGTATGCGATGCAGGGCACTTACTCTATGAAATCAGATGTCTATAGCTTTCGAGTTTTAGTACTTGAGATTGTGAGTGGTCGAAAAAACAATAGGTTCCAAAATGAAGAAGGTCCTCTCAATCTAGTAGAATTTGTAAGTTAACTTATGATCAATTTTTAGATTCATCTCATTTAAGTTTTTCTTGGTACTTAGATTTAGAGTAAAATTATTGTAGGCTTGGGAACTTTGGAGTAACAATGCTGTAATCAAGGTCATGGATCCGATGTTGAAAAATTCATGCAACTGTACAGATCAATTGAAAAGATGCATTCATATTGGTCTTTTATGCGTGGAAAATCGCGCAACTGATCGCCCTGAAATTGAGGATGTTATATCCATGTTAAAAAATGAAATGATGCATTTACCAATGCCAAACTATCCAGCATTTGTCACCAGAAATAGTACAGTCTATGAACTTGAGAATGGCAATTTTGAAAAGTTTTCAGCTAATGAACTCTAAATGTCTGCAATCGATGGAAGATAGTTAAACTCGAGAGCTACTATTATTTGTTATTCTGAGTATTCCATGATATTTCAAGTTATTAATAAAATATGTAGCTCTTGAAAAATTCTATTTTTGCTATGCATTAAAGATATTTGTGTCCAATGTAATTATTGGTTTTCATTTGTGATGCAGACACAAGTTAGAAAAGAGTAATACGTGATTACAGTTCATTGGTTCGTGTGCAATAATCAAGAAGTAATCAATAATTTATTCAAAAAGCTCCAAGTATATTATTTAATAAAAATAACCAAGATCACATTGAAACCATAAGTCCCTATTTGTGCAAATAAATCCTAGAAAAGTAAAAAGAAGCTAATTACTACTTTATCTTTACTCAATAAATGAAGCTAGAGGTTAATCGGTGTTGAAAGAAGATGTGAGGATACACGAGGCAACATACAACTGAAATTTTGGGTGAAGGTACCATTGATTTTGAAAAGAAGAATGATTTAGTGCAATATTATTAATACCAGCGGACTAGAGTGGAATTGGAATTGTGGAACAAAGAGCTTGATGCATTGAATTTGAGATAATGTCATTTATTATGTTGCTAAAGGAGTTAACACTATCATGTTTCACGTAGGGTTGAAGTGCTCAGTTAAATTAGGTATGGATGGGGAACATATTTAGAAGTCGAGTATGGATTATGGGAAAATAAAAGTTTGGATACCTATAAGAAATATCTAGTTAAATTAGATATGGATGAGAAACATATTTAAAGATCGAGTATGTATTGGAGAAATTAAAAGTTTGTATTCCTACAAAAAACGCAATTGAAAGTTTATGTCTCATTTGGGCTTTTTATTAAACCTAAAAGACTACCGAAGCTGGAGAAAAAATATAAAAATGTAAAATTATTCTCGTTGACCCCATTTTTTGCAATCACAACGTTGATAATAGATGTCGGACCACTTGTGTCCACGTAAGCAAATTCCAACACATTTTTACCTTAAATATGGTTGGAGAATCATGGTGATAATGGACATGGGAGATGCTCAACGATACAAAATGCAAGCATTCCTTGACCTCTCGCTCGAGCGTCAATGTCTAAATATTTATAGAGAATTTTTTGCTCGCCTATCGCTAGCTTGTCACTCAAGCGATACGCGAGCAACAGAGTTAGGCAATTTTCTAGGCCTATTTTTCTCTATTTTCTTTCCAACTTTGGACCACAATTTCTCATTTATCCGAAATTGGTTTTGAGTTTTCAAATATAAAACGACACTACTCAACGCATAAAACAAGTTGGTCTATTTACATTTGTAATTTAACCATTGAACGCCACTTTTCCACATTTATACTTAATCGAATTTTCTCAATTTAAAAACCAATCTCCAACATGCTACAATATATAAAATGCGTATAAACTTTGCATAACTATACATAATCGAGGTTTGGATATTTGCCGAATCATTTATCTGAGAATACCCTCCTTTCAAAATTTCTCTATCTTTTCGATCACATAATCCTTTGCATTTGCGTGCAATATTTAGTAGAGAGTATAATTTGAGAGAGTGTATATGTATATGTTATCTCTACACTTGGACACACACATTAGAGGCACAAACCATGGCTCCAAGGAAAAAAGGAGGGAACAATCTTATGCATTCCAACCTCAGGTCAAATATTGGACACTAAATTTGACATGGAAGAAACATGAAGAAAAGAGAAATGTAGTCAAGTTTATATTTCTAGAGTAAGAGTTACCAATTTGTGATTAACTTCAAACGAACAATGTGTGAGTATTTATAGGCAAAACAAAAGATGTGTAACTAGGGTTCTCAGAATGCTTGACATTGGTCTCATTCCAACAACTCATATATCAAAACTCAATGGTGTCACATTAGAGCCATCATATGTATTGCGACATTCGCACGAAAATTACGGGATTTGATTATTAATCACCTTTGTAAAAATGTTACATCAATCAAATTGCACGCGATTCAAGATGTCTGAATGCAACTTGCTCAAGGCATTAGGGCTCTAACTTCAACACCTCGAAATCAAGAAACTCATTTGGTGTGGCTAGGGGTTGGTCCCATCTAATAGCCCTAGAGCATCGAGGTGACATGTTTGCTCAAAGCTATGTTAGAGAGAGCTTTGTCGAGGTATTGAGGCTGTGCTCTCAACACCTTAAAAATGAGGGTGGATTAGATGATGGAATATGATCTCATTGCCTTGGCCAAGAAGATAGAAGAGGCGATATGCTCAAATACATTCGCATTGAAGGAGAAGGTGCTAGCATAGCATTTTGATTAAATGGCAAAGTGGAGGTTTCTACAGAAAGTCCTTTTGGTTCTAGCATGTGGTAGAGGCCTAACAATTAATGTTTTTAAGTTTAATTTCTTTTTTTGCTCTTTTTTTTTTGTTCTAATTTATTTTTTTTTCTCATTGTACAATTGATTATGCTTAGTAAGTTGTAATTGTATTTGATTGATGAATAAATACTAAGCACCTGTTTGGTGTGGTAAAAATCAAATTTTTATTAGATTTTGATAAAAAATTTGATGATATACATGGTTGAAAAATTGTGAATCCCATAAAATATATGGTAAAAAATGATTGTTAACTTTGACTTAGATTAAAATTCAGATTAAAATCACTAGGACCAAGTAATAAAACTGCATTATGTTGATTTTCTTTCTTCTAAATCAAACAAAAAATAACCACATTGAGGATTTGATCCCTGTGAAATCTTGCTTGTTATTAGTGTGCCATGAAGTGTATAAACTCTTATTTGATATATCCATTATAGGATATTTTAAAATAACACAGACTTCCATTCATATCTTATTGCTTGATTTTTTAAAATTTTATCATTTCGTCAAGAAATTTGAAAATTAAATGTTGGTAGCGAAAGTTTAGATTATCGATTTATTTAGACCCAACTTGTGAAATTACGCAATTAAAAGCAACAAGTCATTTTTATATTGTTTCTAGCTGATTATGTCAAACAAGTTAATTTATCCTAATTTTAAATACTAGAGTTTGTAATTAAAGCAATAAAGAACATCAAAGAAGATCACGGAGAAAACATTTAGCAAAGGATGGAAAACTCTAAGCACTTTGCCAGTTAACAATCCAATATAAATGATGAGACTTACATATAGTCCAAACTCAACTAACTCTTTTTCCTCTCTGACTTTTTTCCTGTAATCATGTTGGCCCTACCAGACTACATACTCCTTACATCAACTTCCGTCGAACCCATGGTATTGTTTATCTTCTGTGGATCTCCAAGAACAAACCTCGTTCTTCCAACAGAACCTTGTTTCGCTTTGCCTGATCTCCTAGCCTCTTTCCAAAACTCTAGTTACTTTGAAGGCTAATTGGCAAAGGTAGGTTTGGTGTTTGATCAACGATCTTGTGTGTTTTGATCTATAGTTTAATATGAATGTTTATAGCTTGATCAACAATTCTATTATTTGATGAAATCTATGAATCAAATAATATGGTGGTCAAATCTTGAAATCAATGAACGTTATTTGGATGTTCAAAGGAATGATGATCTCTATGAAATAATTATAATTCAACACACTTTTGGGTGTTCATACTGTAGAATATATATAGGAAAAAGTGTTTGGGATAAAAAAGCGGTTCAAAATAAAGTTTTTGAAGCAAAACAAGATAGTTGGACGTTGACCTTTGCTCGAGTGCTAGGTGAGTTTAGCTAAGAAGTCATCAGTGTGTTCATCATAGCTTTCTCTCCTAATTTCAGACTGAGGCGATTCAAAGTGAGTTGAAAAGATTTCTCGAAGGGATACAATTCTTCTAGAGTAGTGTTCTCCAAATTCGAAAGTCTTCTAATTGCATCCTTGATCATATATGATCTTCTTGGACAGTTTTGACATCTTGGACTCCTTCATGACCTATACTATCAATCTTGAAATATTTTGACTTTGATTATAATTCTATAACTCCTAATACAACTCAACTAGAATTTGTTTTGATTTAGGAAATTGCCAATTACAATTTGGACTTAACATTTCCCCCTTCAGCATTCCGTGACAAAATAATTTATTTCAAAGTCAAAAGTCCACCACAATCTACATAATAGACACTTTTCAAACTATACTACAACAACTTGTCAACTTGCTTCCTGAAACACATGGAAACCTGAAACACAAGGAAACCACAGTGCCACGTGAAATGCAAGAGAAAACTGCCAAAGCCAAAATCGCTAAATATGTTAAATGAAACAACGTAATAAAACATGTGTAACACTGAAGTATGCAATATAATATGAATAATAAACTTAGAAATAAACAATAGAATTTTATATTAATATAGACAAAGCAAAACACTATATCAATAATGAAATTCCAGAAAAAATATCAAATGACTCTCCCTAAGCCATCTATCAATAAAAAATATTAAAATTTTAAAGTTCTCCCCTAATTTATATAATCAATTCTGAAATAAATACGCATCTCTCCCATTTTTCTCACGAATAACAAAGGAAAGCCAAATAGCAATCATTTAAAACGCTGAGAGAAATTAGTAAAAAAATGTGTATATGTATAATGATGCAAAGATTACGCAACAACATATGATGTGAGAATAAAAATTTCCAATTTTGACACTAACTTTTCTTTTTTGAAATTTTCATGGATTTTCATCTTGAAAAGTTATTTACTTACTTATGCATGCATAGTTCATAAAAAGTAAACTTTTCCCACATAACTTATTTTAAACCTAAATGGAGTAAATTGTATAAGCTACACGTGTGATGTGTGCAACTAAAAACAAGTCTTAACTTAAAATTTTAAACCAATGAGAAACGACGTTAAAATTCACCTGTTGGTGAATATATCCTTCAACTTATGAAGTCAAACCTAATGTTGCTAGGACCTTTTAAGTAAAAGCTCATATTGATTTTTTCAATGTATAACTTTTCTTCATCCCCCTAACAATAAGCGCACACACGCATACACACACATATTTTTTCCACTCAT